GCACTAACGATTTGTGCCTCAAAATATTTTTTTTAAAGTAGTGTATTTTAAAAACTTTTTCGAAAGCACCAGCTGCAAGTTCATGAAAGGCACACAATTCATCAAAACAACTTCCAAATGTTCTATTTGAATCTTATATTTGGGATTGCTGATTGATTATATGAAACCTCTATCTACACTTTACGTCAAAGTTTTTTCTTATCACAATTCAATTGGAATTGTAGCTGGAAATCATTGTTTGATTACCTTCACATATGTACTTAGTTCCTTTAAGCACCTTGCTCAAAAGTTAACACGTAGGTACCCATACTGTCAAATTTCGTAATAAATCAAAAGCACCGAAAATGAGAAACTTGTCGTTTTCTCTCTACAACTCTACTTGAAATATCAATATTTGAAGCGTTAGATAATTAGGAAAAGTAAGCAAAACCATGGATCTTTCCTGTCATATGCAAACACAAATATAACTCAATAAGCTTGACGCATTTGTTGCCGCGTACTGAAATGACGACTGATGTGACGAATGGTAAAATACACACTAGATGAGAGTAAATAGTGACGAATCTAAGAAGACGAGAAATGCAACAAATTTTTAAATTTTAGTAACTAATTTAATCCCATAGAAATTATCCCAGATTAACCAGAAATCTCCAGGAATCATAGACGATACGGGAATGATATTTGGTTTTATTTGGAACGATTGGTAGATATTTGCGATTTATTCGCAAGACATTTAAGAGCTTAAATTCCAAACAATACTTAAGCAAATAAATATTCGAAACATGTACGACAACAAAGATACTATTACTGATTGTTATGAGTTCGAGGAAGCATCAAATAGGTCATCCCTTTATTTCAGATAAATTGTTGATATTTTGAACACATTGTTTTATATTTAAAATTATGCCGACAGAGCGAGCAATTTTGATTGCTGTCTCATGCAGCTTCGCCAAAATAAGCGATTGTTTGTTTTTCTCAAGTGCATACTAAAGAAGACATTTTCCTTACAGTGCTCGTTTTAGCTACATTTTAATTTCTGTCGGGTTATTTTGTATATGTGTTTAGTTTCGTTGTTCCAATTTCTTGTTTTAATTTTAATTGGAGTACAAATTTTGAGAAAGAAATATCAGTGACGCTCCACAAAAGAAACTCGCTCAAACTTTTGTAACTCGTAAACCAATAATTTTCCTTTCAACATTTATGTGAACTGTTTCTCTTATCTGTTGCACTGACAAGTTTAGCGCCATAAGGTTATATTAAGCGTATCGGAAAGAGTCAATTCAAACCACCATTTTAAACCAGAATTCAGCCAAACAAGTTCCAAATTTAATGACCCTTCCCAACCTTAAATATCTGTCAATGTTATCTTCGTCCAATAAATTTCGTTTATAATTTAAAACTGTCATTATAAATTATGTCGAGTCCCGCCTTTGTAACCGGCTGGCTATTAAATAAGAACCAGTTTTCAACGTTAATAGAGAACAACAGTTAAAATAAGATTAATAGATAGAATTAAATTAAGGAAAAAGGTTTAAACAGGTAAAAAAGCTGAACTTTCGAAGGATTAATTGAAATTGTTTTAAACTGCCTGCCGTCGGATTTATACTTTGGGAGTAAGTTTAGAAGAAAAATCACTTCGGATGCAGCTATTTGTGGGACAGATTTCAACTGCGGTTGAAGTGACGGGTTGTCACCAACAAATTCCTTTCGATTGATTCATTTTAAAGAAGTCATGAACTCGACCAAAAATGCCAGCAACTTTTTTTATTCAGACTTCGTCAGCTTAAACTATTTGGAACGGCCTGGAAAGTTTTGATAACCCTGTGATTTATAATCTCATATTCATGACCGAGTAAACATTCAAAATGATTAATAAATCACATTACATGTTTTCTTGACCACACTTTTTAAGGTTCCAGTTAATCGCGAGTTATGATATAAATCTTTTCAAAATTGAATAGCAGAAATATAATGCATATTCTCAACCAGCTTGCTGAACTGTGAAAGTTTGATTTATTGTTAATAAACCTAGTTTGTTTATTGACTCAATTCTTGCTGATACTGCGGTCTATTTCTGAGTGTAGGCGTTGTCCCGCATTAAAGACATTTGCTAAAAAGCGAGTGGGTGAACACTTTTATGAACCACCTTGTTTTTCCTATCTAAATAGTGAAATTCCAAGCAATTGGACAAAAGGAGTATTGTTGTTGTCATACGGGGTACTTCAAAATTAGAGACTTTCATCTGGAAGGGTCATTCGGTCTGACGACCTAAGGTGAATATGAATTCATTCATACGTCAAAGACATTAGCAGGTGAAGCTCTATCAACATTGAGTATGCTCTTACTTATTTCCTAACCCTTCAGGACTCCACAGGAATGAGACAAATTTGGGCCCACTGTATGTCCCATAAATTAAAGAGTCACGAATATGTTGTAGTCAAGTTAAGTCGCGCTCGAATAAATCTGTTCCGAATGTTCCAACAAAAAGTTCACATTGTCATAAATTAAAGTAAGTACCTACTACTACTTTATTCTTGAGCAAAATTTATATTGTCTGATATAGGTACCTCGTATACGACTGAAATTAAGTAAGTAACATCTGATGCTTTCGTTTTACGTTTTAGACTAAGCAGAACGTTTTATTAAGAATGACTTTTTTTCGTAAAATTAATAATAAAAAGGTTTACTATATGGCCAGTGCCGTCTGTAAGCATGGGCCTACAGTGCACTGACACAGTCTCATACAAAATTATGATGTATCAACGAATAAAAAATATGTAAAATATTATATTTCAATTTTAAAATGATATATTATGTATAAATTATTACTTATTAACAATAGATGTTATATATAAATTATGAAGTCTGTAGTCTGTGGTCGTAAACGGACCCACTTTTTGAAAACAGCCAAATATTTTCGTGGCTCTTTATCACATCTGAAGTCTTTACGAATTTGCAGCCTGGAAGTTTCTATTCCTGCACGAATACTTCACTTTGGCTGATATTTTTTTCATTGTAAAATTTCGCAAAGCCGCGCATGCACGTTGGCCATGACTTGATCTCCAGCTTGCAGACGTTGCAGAAGCTGTGCCCTGAAAATGGAAAAGCACCATACCTAAAACCCCAGGTGGTTTTTGTGTTATCGTTAGGGATATGTACTTGTGAGGCAAACGAAGATGAGACCCATCATGAACTCATTGGAGATGGGATATTTCGATTGGGAGAGCAAGTCTTCGTTGAGGGCATGGGACTCTGGGATGCTTGTAGAGAAACACGGCCCAGAAATAGCCTACTCCGTTATCTGCTGGATTTACTCCATGCTTTTCTTCACTATCTCATTTTCACCAACGTTCTGGCTGCTTAAATCTTCAATGCAAAACTCAGTTGGATTTGGTGTGAGAAGCAATATGAAGCTTCCAAAAACCAAGAGAGAGGACCCGGTATCGGAAAGACCTCCTGGAAGACCCCCAAAACGATGGCACGACAGCTGGAGCTCGGCGTCTCAATTAGGGTTGTGATCCTTGAATAAACAGGATGAAATCCTACAGCAAAGAAGCAGAAGAAGAAAAAGAGAGGAAATTCAATTACCTACGCATAGAAACGTCAGGATACGTAGACATCGAGGCGGAGGTAAGAAACCAAGCGGCAAAAGGAGCACGAACCTCAGCTAAACGACACAATCTTCCGAAACAAATATATCGGAAACGAGACAAAATCCGGAATATACAAGGCGGTTAGCTGCCTTATTTTAACATAGACAGCGAAAACTAGACCAGATAAATTGAACACATAGAGAAGATTAGAAACTACTGAAAAGAAAATAGTGCTCAGGATCGCTGGAAAAACACTTTTTCACCGGGGGAGAACCCCGGACATTAGAAGAATATAGACAACGTAAATGAATGAAACTGGTAACAAAGAGATAATGGAACGAATACATAGATCGTATGAATGACGACAGCTTGGTTAAAATAACCAGAGACAAGTCGCCCTTAGAGCCGTAAAAATATAGCAAAATATAGCAAATCAGCCAATAAACGTCTGAAAATAATAATAAACTCCAAACAAATGCGTTGCAAAATCCAATTGAGTTTTGCATTGAAGATTTAAGCAACCAGAACGTTTGTAAAAATGAAATAGTGAAGAAGAGCGTAGAGGATATCCAGCAGAAAACGGAGCACCTCTACAAGCACCCCAGAGTCGCACGACCCGTACGAAGACTTACTGTCTTGAAATGTCCCATCCACAATGAGATCATGATTGGTCCCATTTTCGTTTGCCTCACAAGTACCTACCTTTAACGATAACCCAAAAACCACACCGGGTTTCAGGTATGGCTTTTCCATTTCCAAGATGCTTTCCAGAGCTTCTGCAACGTCTGTAAACTGGAGATCAAGTGATGGCCCACGTTCAAGCGCGACTTTACAGAGAGGAGAAATTCCACAGTGAAAAAAATAAGGGCTAGTCAAGTATTTCTGCGGGAATCGAAACTTCGGGTTCAAATTCGGAAACACATCGGACCGCATCAAGAGCCACGAAAAGATTTGCCTGTTTTGAGTGTGTGCGCTTACGACCACAGACTACAAACTTTACAATTTATCTATAACATGTATTGTTAATAAGAAATTAATTTTATAGAATTTTAAAACTAAAGTTTAATTTTTTATATATTTTCATATCATATTTTTCATGAGAGTAGAAACATGCATAAATACGACTCAGGTTACAACACAAACCACATAATAGGATGGCACCTACATCCTAAATAAAATAATGTGTATCACGTTTTATATGTAGGTCGTTAGCTTTCTCTCACATATCTATAGAAGGAATATGAAATGAAATACTTAGATGCTTCATAAGCATTATTGACCAAAATATGCCAAGAATGAATACTTCCAACGCAAAATATTTAAGCTACTTATTAGTTAAGTATTTATTGTCTTATATTATTTAGGATTTAAAACCTAATGACACTGATTATATTATAAACAACTTACGTTTAGAATGTTCCTCCGTCGCAGCAGATGGTATAAAAAACCAATAATCTTGCAACTTAAAATTCGCAGGACAATTGAAGGCGCGAAATATTGTCGAACACAAGCAATACTACAATCAATCAAAAAGATTCACACACAATAACAATATAAAACTGCTATTTTTCCGAAAACCGCTTTTCGAAAGCTTCAGCTATCACGAAATGGTTTCCACGGTCAAAGATTATCGTTACGTTCGCAGGAAAGCGCTTGCGCCTTACTAGACGGCACACATGAAAAGAGGATAACGTCAAGCAAATGCTGAAGGAGAGTGAAGGCATGCGCTTGTCTGATGCTCTTTTTCGCTCCTGCTTGTGGAAAAGCCGTGTTGGTCCCGTTCTTTAATAAGATCGGCCATTAAAGCTTCACACATGTGTCCCGACCCGTTTTCATTATTACTGTATTCGAATTTTAATACCCACTTGATAGAAGAAAACAAGCGAAGTCGAAAAAAACAGATTGGTTCTTTCAGTATTCATGCAGTGGATGCAGTATTAAAAATCACTTTTTTCTTCCTTAAGATATGTACCTACATGTGTATTAAGAAGCACAGCACTTGACTGTAAATTAATCACTCGAATCAGCTTGAGAAATACTTTTAAAACTAGAATGTTTTTTCATTCCCGAACCATTATATTATTTAAATGTCTGTGCCATAATGCCTTCTCACAACTAATAATTGCATTAAATTTATCATACAACTAAAGGTATCTACTGATGTGGTAATGAAGTAATTTAGATTTCATCATTCACACATTCACTTTTCTCATATTCTCCCGCTTAAGGTCCATTGCATAGGGTAAAGTTGCTCATATTGAACCAATGTTAAATGAACATTCATAGCGAAGTTAAGTCCGCAGCAGGCGTCTTAATTTTATGCGAGACATTTTAACGGCAAGTTAATAGGAAAATTTTATGGAAGTTTGTAAGGACATTTGAACCCCATAAGTAAATAAGAGCAACTTTGATGGTAGGTGGTTTCACTGCAATTGTGTAGGCTTAAACACAAGAAAGAAACTTTTTTCCTGAATGAATAAAGGCTTCGTATATATATAAATAATCTTTATTTCCTATAGAAAAAGGCTATCGACCCAATCGGTCTTTCTGCCCTTAAGTAGTACATATATGTCTTAGCCTAGCTTATTCTAAAATTAGGTCCTATTCCTAACACTGGTATAATTCAATCAGTGACAAAAAAAAAATTAAAAATTCCTGGCCCACAAAACAAACAGGTCTTAGTCGTTAGTTCAGTTGCGTTTGTAGATATTCTAGTAAAGTATCTGTTGGGGTACGAAAACGGGAATGTTTTGCCCGTCTTGTTAGGCAAAGGGGATTCAGTATGGTCCAGTTGTGAGGGTTGTTTGTCCATTTTGTCTGTAAGTGTATTAGTCTTTCCGAAATTTTGGTCATGTTTGTGCGTTCGTATATTAGTTGGTTGGAAGGGCTAAAGGCTTCGTTTAAATAGCAAAAGCTTATTTGCCTTTCAGTTTTATAACCCGTAAATGTCATTTTAGTTTGTCTGATTATGTACTGCTTATTGTTGTGAAATATTTTATAGGTTCAATTCAAGATACCAGTGTTTCAATTTGAGCAATTTGGCTTTTTCTTCTTGAATTCATTAAAATATGCATACTCAAATTAAATTTTAGTTATGCGGGCCTTTGTGTTTATAAATGTCTAATGCATACTTTATACACAGCGTATTATTGGTTTTATTTTTACAGTAGGTACCTAGGTACTATGGTGATTTTTCTGAAAATTGGTCAACCTTTTCTTAAGTAGAAAATGGCTGTATCTATTTTATCAACATTTGTTCAAATATAATACCCTTTGAAAACCAAGTTAGTTGGCTTATCTGCCTGTTATTTGAGCATAACAAGCAACAAAAGAAGTAAGTTTGAGTGCGTTTGCTTGTTTGAAGGCTTGTTGAACCACCATCAAATAGTAGGAAGTTCATTAAACTGTATTTGTCGCCCTCTGCTGAGTCAAATCACTGAAAACCAGAGAACTGCTTTAGAAGAATTTGAACATGCCAAAACCTGTCCGGTCATGTTTCGATAAAACTATTCGTGATTATAAAGCCAACCATGGCTTTATAATCACGAATAGTTTTCATCTGAAAATCTTCAACCTTGATTGGATGATGGGGATATAGCGGATCCGCAACTATAAGTATACTTAGATCGGGGGGTTTTCGATGCTGGACTTACTGCTTGTCTCCATGAGCGAAAATAGCAAAACGGTATTAATGGGTTACGATCAGGTGCAGTAAATTGGTCGAAGCAATTTTTCACCACGCAAGTGCTTCAAAATAAAATTGTTTGTAATGAACAAGTCTACACTGCCATTTTTGTAATCTTTCAATATGCGAATAATCTCAAAATTGTCCATTAAACCATTTTAAACACTGTCTGCACATCGTCAAGTACAAATACATTCGAAAATTAATCATTAATTTTTGCACTACTCAAGTGGGGTTCATACAGAGCAAGTGAACTGCAATGTCAGGAACTACATTTGACTGGATTGGAGGAACGCAATGTTATTCATTGCACATCTAAATCACAAAAACCCATGTAAGTGACAAATGTAATAAAATTAGTAGTTTATGCTAGCCAGCGGTACAGGAAATAAATTAATTTCATTTAATCTTGCCGCCTCTAACACTTCATTAAAATGCATTATAAAAGTTTGCATCTTTCTTAACCAGCGATATGACAAGAACCGCCTCTTTCCTTCTGATGGTTTTTCTGAATGTTTTCCCAGCATCTTTTAAAGAAAAGCGCTGACATGTTTTATCGGATATTGAAGCTTATGACATTTAAGGGTTTTTTCAGAACACATTGTCTACTCTTATTTACCGGCACTCAACTTAGGACGTCTGGTCGATTAGTTTGTTTGGTACTGCTGAAAGATATTTTTACATACTCTGTGTACTAGAAAAACGTGAATTTCAGTTAAGTTCTCGCCAAGAGATTAATCTACTTACGTAACCTTTATATAATTATACTTACTTAACTGGTGTAACTCAATCTATTTCAAAAGCGTATTTATAGAATTTTTCTGCTCGCAATTTTCGTGAAAATTTAGAAGTTGTAATTTTCTTTTCAGAAAACGAATTATAACATTTTATTCTTGAATCGACCGCTCGGTGATAATATTTAGCCCATTTTCATGAAGAAAACAGGCATTCTTTATAAATATGGTTAAACAAAAGTCGGCCAAATTTTTCATAGCAAACGACTCGTAGCAAATTTTGCTACATTTCCAGTTTTTTTCCAAATAAAATTTGTGCATTCTAAACCTTATTCTATTGCTGCTCAAACTGCAGTTATTTGTGACATAAAACGGACAGTTTTAAACGTCCTGAGACACAATAGGCCCTACATTCACAATACTGTGGATACTGTATTAAAGGTTAAATCGTCGTCGAAAATGTGTTTGAGAAAGTTGTCCCTAACTAATTTAAAAACATCTCACCTTTTTTCTGTAGAAAAAGTTTGCGTTAGTAGTTAGCGACGAAGAAATGTACAAATGCTCTGAAGTACATTTTTATCTCGAGTCGCAAAGGATCGAGTTTGGTTTCCTGCATCATAAAGAAATTGTTTTGACAAGGCACCTACTAATTTGTTAGGTACATGTAAAGGTATCCGAGAGTAAACATATGGTAGCGAGAAAAACATTTTAAGGGCTTAGAAATATTTTTCATATCTGCCTAATGTAATTAAGAACATTATTTATTTGCAGAAGAGAAAATGTTCAACAAATGTTTTCGTATCAATTCATTTATGAATTTTGAGCCTTCGAAATTCGTTAATCGCTGGTACGGGAGTACCGTCGTGTTTTCTAGAATTAACAGCTCATCGAATTACGATCTCATAAATATTTAAATATAGATATAAACAACGATAACAAATATGGAATGTTACAGGTAGATATTAATATGGAATGCCCCAGCGTAAACTATACTCTTTATGTGTTGAACCTATATTTACATTGGCATCAGTTCGTTTAAACAGAATCGAGAAAATCAGAAAATCAACAGAAAAAGTGAAAAGCAAACAAACTAAACTTTTACGTATCAGATGGTGTTAATTTAAGAAATTATATTACAAATAGGTTCAAGTGTTGTATTTCGTCCTGCCTCTTCGATCTGTTTCCTTGTTACCTAACCCAGAAGTTAAATTATTTTTACCACTTTAAGTGGATTGGGTACTAAAAATACAATTTTAGTGCAGTACAATATAAGGGCTCCGCGTCGGTTCACACCCTGTGCGTTACGATGGTCTACATATTTAAGGTTAAAAGGAAGTGGCACTAAAATGCACATTACGACCTTTTAAGTAACCATAACGGAAATTCATAGCAGCCATATTCCATTAAAATATAATTTTACTAAAAGCGTAAAAAGAAAATCCTTTTCAGGCGAACTTTTACATCAGAATGCTGCCATTGTAACCATTTTTAGATTTGGCAATAAATCATGCCAATAATTATGACTCAGCTAATAATCAGGGATTTAGGTAAATACAATTTTAAAATTGTGCTTCTGTAGAATTTATATTTATAGATAGATCTCTTTGCAAGAGGACTCTTGAGTACTGAGTACTTTAAGCAATATTTTCATTCGACCAAGCATAAGACCATTTCAAGCGGATTTATTTCACTAGTTAGTTGTAATTTGCACAGGAGAAACAGGAAAACATTTCATTATCACACCTTAATTTTACACGATAAATAATTCGATCCAATAATTACGTATTTTATAGGAACATAAGCATTAAACAGATTCTCACCGGTATCTATCGAAGATCAAAATCAACGTTCATTTTGCACAGCTATAGAAAGACTATTAGGCTATATTAGATTTAAAAATTGGATAAAGACCGCCCGAGACAAATCGACATGGAAGTCATTGGAAGAGGCCTATGTCCAGGAGTGAACGAACACAAGCTGAAGAAGAAGAAGATTAAATCATTATTAATTACGTTTTCAACGTCATAATAATTGTTAATTTAATTATAAAATATTTAAAAAAAATACCATAATTTTCAAAAATATCTCTGAAATATTCTAAAATAGTTCTAAAACCTACAGCTTTTTTTTGCGAGTTTTCCTTCTGGGCAAATAATAGATGGTTACCTGTAGGAAAGTCAAGTGTTAAATATTCAGAAACATTTCATGTGGAAACCAGTTTCAGACCGGAATATTAAGCCCATCTATATCTCTCG